GGCAGATCCTTACACAAGGGGGCTTTCAAATAAAGTTGTCCTGCCCCCCCCCCCTCTGCCCCTCCCCCTCGGAGTCTGAATCCGAACAGCTGACAGGGAGCGGGAGTGCGGCTCCATTGGCTGTGGAGGAAACTGGGGAAGGGCAAAGTCTGGTGGGGCAGAGCAGGGAAGAGGGAGAATAAGGGAGAGGGAGGAGTTCAGAGGAAGACCCAGGCCCACCCTCTCTTCATCCTAGGGCACACACAGGGAGGAACGGAGAAGGGAGCAACATGAGTTGTGTGCCTTACGGGGGAGGAAAGGGCCCTGATTCCCTTCATTAGCCACAGCTGGGAAGAAACTTTAAAAGAGATCCAAGCCGAGTGCGGCATCTGCTGGGAACAAACACGAGTTCATCTTGGGTTGACTGTGGTTATCTGCGTTCCTCTCACCCTCCCAACTGTGTTGAACTACGGCCATTCCTTCACGTCGGGAATTCCTGCCGGACTAATGACCTCCTCTTGCCTTGATTGGACTTATAGTTACAGTTTTGTGCGGTAGGCATAATATATCTTGACTTCAGCAAAGCTGAAAACAATACATAAAATAGCTGGCTGGGGAATTCTGGGAGTTGAAGTCCACCCGTCTTCCAGCCCCATAGAACATAGAATAACAGAGTTGGAAGGGACCTTGGAGGTCATCTAGTCCAACCCCCCCCTCCCTCGAGCAGGAGCGTCTATTCCAAATATTAGCCTCTGCCTAGGATCGAACTCACAGCCTCCTGATTGTGTGGCGAGAGCTCCGCCTCTAGGCCACGGCTTCTGGCTCCCACCTTCTGGCCATGATGTAGTAGCGGTCCACGGGCACCCCCAGTGCCACGTTGATGCCCCGCACGGTGTTGATGTTCCGGAAGACGAGCAGCATGGCGCGGGGCAGGTCCCTCAGCACCCGCATGATGCAGTCGAAGTGGTGCTTGGCCATGTCGCGCATGTAGGCCTCCTCCTCCCGGGTCAACACGTTGGAGAGCGCCAGCTCCGCCATGTTGATGGGCCGCTGCAGCAGGATCTCGCAGAAGAGCAAGTAATCCTGGGCTGGGGAGGGAGGGAGAGGGGAGGGGCAGTCAGGAAGGGAGACACGCCCCCCCCAGACACACACACACACACGCCAGGCCAGAAATGAAATGAGGGGCAACTGGAAATGAATTGCAAGGGAGGGGCCCTTGGGGCCCTCTGAGCTTGGGGTTTTTTCTTGCAGACGTTTCATGACCCAACAAGGTAACGTCATCAGTGTCCCTTCCTCCCTCCCTCCCTCCCTCGAGAACAAGCCCCATTCCTTACTAGTATTGATAATGTTATCTAGTTGGGTCATGCAACGTCTGCAAGGAAAGAACCAAACTCAAGAGACCAGCAAAGACACCCCTCCCCCC